TGTTAGAACTGTCTTAGATTAGATGGACTATGAGGATATACATTACACCAATATACCACAGAAAACTATAGGTTCTAGAGTTGTGTAGCTCCTGAGTGAGTGATATAAAAGATATATATCATTCACGACGATAAAATGTATCACTCACTCACACTAGCTCCGAATATATCAGTAACTCACTACTAGCTCACTAGATCACTAGCTCAATGACGCCGATCTTTGTTTCATGAGCGAGTGAGACTAAAGATAAATGAGTGAGATAGATGATGGTTGAGTTCACGCAGGTTTCTTTATGCAAAATGTACATTATTTCTATAGGATCAAAGTTTAATATTACTTAAGAATTAAGCCAAGTATAAGGATAATCAAATTATGTATGATTTCTATTATACAACCTAAAAAAAGTACAAGAAATAATTTGTTATTTTTAATTAATATGTAAAAGGATGTTAATAATTATGTAATCTTATCAAAATGAATAAAATTGTATTAAAAAAAATAAGTTAAAAATATCGTTTCAAAAACTGAATTTAGGTTAATATGAAAATAAAGAAAGGTTTGTATGGCGAGAGAGCCTTAAAGTGAGTGATATACGAGTATACTGAGCTAAACGATCTGGATGAAGAAATGAATTAATTGTGAGACCAATCAATTGAATCGGATCAATGAGCTAGTGAGCTAAACGAGTTAGTGAGCTAAATGAGCTAGTGAGCTAAACGAGTTAGTGAGCTAAATGAGCTAGTGAGCTAAACGAGTAAGCGAGCTAAAAGAGCTAGTGAGCTAAACGAGTTAGTGAGCTAAATGAGCTAGTGAGCTAGATGAGTGATATATATCTTTTGAGCGAAATGATATATATCAATCTTTTCAGCTCAGTGATACATTTTGCGCATCACTAATAGGTTCAGAAGCTTCTTGCTATGTTGACAGATTTGACAGCCTATCGAAAGCACCCTGATTAGAGATGGTAAAGAATGCTGTTTAAACCACAGAACATATATACCCCTAAAGGGGAAGAATAACGACTCCATACTATTTTTATGAGGAAATTTTTCCTTACCGGCCGGCGCCATCTATGCTCCGCCCACCAAAACTAGACAGTAGAAGCTAGGGCGGGAATTTCAAAACAGATACTTTGTATTGCATTTTATGCACAAGTACAGTGCGTTTCTCGATAGTGTTCTTCAAGATGGTCAATTATTGCTCAGCAATAATAATTGACATCTAAACGACATCACTATCGAGAAACACACTGTACTTGTGCATAAAATGCTGAAAGCAATATTTATGGAACAGTGTAATAAAAGAAACATTAGTATTTGACTTTTTTATTTGGCATAATATTAATTATAATTTATCAGATATTCATATTATAAGCAACTATATACTAATTTTACATGAATAAATGTGTTTTGGATTATATATTCATTTAGGACAAAAGGTGTTCACAAGTATGTGTATGTAATTTTTTTGCGTGTGTTGTAGCCACCCTCTGGTGTCAGAGCTTATTAAGTCACCTCTGGGAATCCCACAGGCCTCTGACATGGCGTGTATGTAATGATAATTAATCACAAAATTTGTAGGTTAATCTAAACACAAATTAAACATAATATTCTAAAAATGAGATAATACATACAATTTGAAAATACAGCAAGCATCTTCGACCATATGGTCTATTGCATACAATTTTAACATCAAAAACCTAGACAAGGTCAAACACAAGTTTACACTTTACAGACATATATCATAATATTATATAATATGTATTATTTCAGTTTAATGAAATAAATAAAGAAATGGTTAGCAAGAGAGATACTTATTATTTTTGTTGAAGGCAGACAGATCTGACCAATTTAGCTACACTATCATCCATTAATAAAAAAAGTTGTAAAATAATAAATAAAGCATAATCAGCCTACAATGTTCTGTTCTGTGGTTTTTTTATATTTGTGGAAAAAAAAATTCCTCTTCTTAAATCTGATGTCGACGCGTTTACTCCATCAAACAGTTCATCCATGTCTTTAATTAAATTACCCGTTGCCACTGCTCCAGTCGGCATGTCTCCTGAAAATTCACAATAAACAAATTAAATCAATATAAGTACAATATAATATGATAATATAATTATTAGATAGTTTCACCATTTATAAAAGAGACAACCCCACATTATCATACTGTTGAAAGGAATTTGTAAGACTTGTTGTTAAATGTGCATAAGTATCGTGCATAATAATTATGATGTGTGTGTATAAATGAGTTGGACCATGACTATTAAAGATGTCTCTTACCTTTAGCTATTTTGGAAAATATTCCTGCTGCAACTGAGTGGCTTAAAACTTGTGCTGCAAGTTTTACCCTCATTTTTTGCTTGGTATTGGGGTCAAGGTGTTCTTTAGTTAAGAGTGGTGCATAAACAAAATTGGGATTATTATTGTCCAGTTCATAGAATTGCCTGATGTGGCTCCATTTAGCGATTCCTGTAAAGTAATTATTAAAAGTAAAATTATTAAGTATAAACTACTACTATATTATTAAAAACTTTTTTTAAACTAAATAACAATGACTTACCAATTCCTTGTTTGTTGTCTGATGTTATATTGGTCATAAACTTTACATCATATTTCATGAACAGATTTCTGAAGCACTTCAGCAAGTGTGGTGTGTCAAATAGCGTGACTACTTTGTTTGTGATTGCTCACTTCTATATAGGGATACTCTACAGAAGCTCTCTGGTTTAAACCCTATTGACCTGATTACCTAGAGTTTTTGACTCGATACAGACATTTTTGTAACTAAAGTGAAAATAGAGCTATCACAATTAATTCACAGAAGCAATATTGCTATATTCATGGCTTTTTAAGAATATGTGGGCCAGACAAAAATCCATAAGTTAATGGATTTACGTGCTATACATATGCATTCGTAATATGAACACAATTAAAAAAACTAGTAATTCCTTCTTAAAAGGCTGCCCTGAGCTGCAGGCGTTCATAGAGTAGTATTCTAGAACGCTACGTACTAGAATATTGTATAGCATAATATTAATGGCACTGTTATGAAACTCTTTAGTATTTCGAATACAAATCCTTATATTTTTGATGTTCTGTTGATAATATTTTCAAAATGTGGCACGAAAGAAACTTTTATATCGAATATGATATCTAAGCTCGGATTAGAAATTAAACGGTTTAGAGGATCTTGTAATACCACTGATATTTTGGTCAATGATCCCTCATCCTGGCTTGAAGCTTTTTCTGATAAGCTAGCTCCTCCTTCCGTCTCAAACTTAGATTGCTTGCCTTCGTTGTCACCCCGTATATCACCTCTAAATAGTTTTGACTACGTTTTTTCATTTTCTGAGCTTTGACTGGCACTGGACGGTTGAATAGAGCACTGGAATGGATTTAATACCTTACTCTTTTTTTAAACGGTCGTATTTACTCTTTTGTAAAACATGCTTCTGATAAAAGCAAAGAATATTTTTTATACACTGGTCAGCAAATAAACCGAGCCACCCGCTACCTAGGAACTCTGATTCGATTTTCTCAAAAAGTATAAAACTTACAACTATCAAAGTTATACCTACAAAAAGTGCGTTTCATGGTGATTAAAATGACTAAAAATTAATTCGAAAGTACCGTCAACTCACATTGTAATCAAGCAACAAACACAATGCTAACGATTTGCTCTGTTTTCACCAGAGTTTGAAATTAGCGTTCTTTTTCTCTACAATGAGGGTAGTCGGATATTTCTTATCATTTCTTTAGTTTTTGTCCATCGTTTGCTCAGACGCGTGTGTTTTTGCTACTTTTTTCGATTAATAATGGATACAACACCTCAGGAAGCAGCTCAAGCTGTAGCATTACTTCAAGCAGGCATTGCGCAACGTGAAGTCGCTCTAAGGCTTCGAATCAGCAGATCTTCGGTGCAACGAGTTTACAGACGATACCTAGAGACTGGAGCATTCGATTGCCGTCCAGGTACGGGCAGACCTAGGGCTCCATCAGCAGCAGATGATCGTTATATCCACCTTACTGTTCTGCGAAATCGCCACCTCAACGCAGTTCAAGTCCAACAAAGTCTGCGTGACGAACGCCAAGTGGTCATAAGTTCAGATACCGTCAGAAGGAGACTTGCTGAACGGAACCTGACCCCAAAAAGAGCTGCAACAGGTCCAGCATTAACGGTAGCACACCGTCGAGCACGACTTGAATTTGCTCGAGAGCATAGGGATTGGACATTAGAGCAGTGGAGTAATGTACTCTTCACTGATGAGACCAGGGTGAGTCTACATGGAAGTGATCGACGTCAGAGAGTATATCGTCGCCCTGGAGAACGTTATTCTCAGTGTTGCATCGAGGAAACTGTTGCTTATGGAGGAGGATCTGTAATGGTCTGGGGCGGCATCTCTTTAACAGCACATACAGCGTTAGTTTTCATCGAACCGACGGGCCGTACACGTGGACTGACTTCTCATCGCTACATTACTGAAATCCTCGCAGACCATGTGGTACCTTACGCAGGATATATCGGACAGGATATGCAATTGATGCATGATAATGCATGTTGCTCATGTGGTGACCCAGTATCTACGCGACGTCAGCATTCGTACGATGGACTGGCCAGCTCGAAGCCCGGACTTGGATCCGATAGAACACTTATGGGATGAGCTGAAACGTCGGGTTCGAGCCCTGGTACCTGCTCCAACAAGGCTTCCAGAGCTGCGAATCGCAATTGAAGAGGAGTGGAATACAATTCCTCAAGATTTTATAGTCAGGCTCGTAAGGTCGATGAATACAAAAGTAGCTTATATCACTTGTTAACTCTTTATTAACTCCATACCAAACATCACACGGAAACGTCACTCCATTGTGGCATATTAAAGGAACAAACAGGCTATCAAACACTATCATGAGTATAAATTTTATCATGAGTTTAAATATTTGTAAATCTATGTGAGTATGTATCAAAGAAAACAACACTATATATTTTTATACTGTTTTTTAATCACTATAATCAAAATCTGAATGTAAAAATTCAACATGAAGTGAATCGTCAGAATCACTGGAGTCGCTGCTGTCTCTTAAATTGATGATGAAGCTTTCTAAATTATTTTCAGTTATATTGTCTCTTCTTTTGTACTTGTCTTCCACATGAATGACATGGTCTGTCATTTTTTTCCAATCATCTGCTGTAATACACTCAAAAGATTGTTTTATGAGATCCTCGAACTCTTTTGGAGTTCGGCTTACATTTTTGCTTCCCACATTTCTTTTTGCTAGACTCCATATGAGTTCTATAGCATTTAGGTCACAATGATATGGAGGAAGTCTTAGCACTTCATGTCCGTTTAGGCTTAAAAGTTCATCAGCTTCATAAATAGGTTCTGGTGTGTTCTGTTTTACTAAGCAGAGCAACTCTGCTTTTGAATTGTATGTTTCAAATGAAATACCATTCAATGTAAGCCAATTCTGTATCTCTAACTTTCGATTTTGAGATGTGGGCGCTTTATTTATTATGACAGAATGGTATGATGCATTGTCCATTACAATTACATATGGTTCATTCAAATTGGGCATAAGCTTTTCTTGAAGCCATTTGTTGAAGTTTGTGGAATTCATGTCATGGTGGTAGTCGGCCATTTTCGATTTGGTGCTAAATACTAACAATGAGTTTGGAACAGGGCCTTTCTCTGATCCTGCATGCACAATAATATATCGTTTTCCTGATGATATATTTTCAACTATTCCACTTGTTGATGGACCTTGCCAACATTTTTTAGGCTTATAGGTTTTGTGGACATAAGTTTCATCTAAGTAGATTATTGGCTTGCCTTCTGCACGCTTCGATGCAATGGTGCGCAAAAAGTGATGTCTCCATGCAGCTATATCATACCGTTCAATTAATAATGAACGTTCATTTTTGTTTTTCTTAAATACATAACCGTTGGCTAATAATATGCGACGGAGAGTTTCACGACATCCACCAAATTCTATACTTTCTTTTAACTCTACCAACAAAGATCTTAATGTTGGTACTTGTTTCCTCACAATGTAAAATTCGTTTATTTTATTTCGAATAACATCCATATCGAAACTATCTAAGTTCGACACTTTTGAAGGGTGGGGTCGTTTTTTACCTGGAGTCCTCCAGACCCCTTCGTTCACCGCACCTTCTTTTTTAATTCTCTTCAATGTAATAACACTTACATCTGTAAAAAGAATAAAATAAAATGTCAATTATCGTGAGTCTCATAACTAAGAAATAATAGAAAATACACAAGTATTACAAAACTAGTCTAAGATTAACGTTGAGTGAAAACTTACCGGTGAGTGAAGATAGTTCTTCTAAGTACTGGTTCTGCGATTTTATCATATCTTTTTGATCTAAATCTGTGATCTTTTTAATTGCTTGTTTTACTTCAGCAGTTCGTGCATTATCCTCAAGACTATCTGTAAAAGAACAATAACATTATATAAAGTAACTAAAACTAATATGTACTTATTTAAAACTAGCTGACCCGCGCAACTTCTTTTGGGTTTTCTCATTAAACAAAAATTAACACACTATTGAAGTTCGCCATGTCTTTTATTTAATACCAACTACCATAATGAAGATAGAACACTAATATACCACAGATAATCAAAATATCCAACACCCCTGCTCAATTTCATAATTGAAATTGCTTACAAATAATGTAATAATGTATGTAACCAAACTTAAATTCTATTAACTTATTTCTTCCACAACTTAAATTAAATTAACACTAAAATTAAACTTTTTCTTCCTGCCTATCAATAACATTCTTATTTCTAAACATTACTTTTAAATAACATTCATTTTGCTAGTTAAATAACTATGTTGGTTAGTTGACAATGCTTTAGTTAATATATCAGATACATTCTTATTAGAAGGAACATAAGACAATGAAATAATTTTCTTACTAATTACATCTTTTATATAATGAGCCTTAATATCTATGTGTTTAGATCTTTTGCTATTCTCATAACTCTCAACCAGCTTTAAAGTACTTTGATTATCTATTAAAAGTCTACAAGGAATATTTACTGAAGTAAGTTCAGACATGACACCTTTCAAATTAACTATTTCACAAACTGCTAACGCCCCTGCTAAATATTCCGCCTCTGCGGTTGATAAAGCTACCGATAACTGTTTCTTTGAATACCAAGAAATAAGTTTTGAACAATAGAATACTGTACATCCGCTAGTACTTTTCCTGTCTAGTTTGTCTGAGGCCCAGTCCGCATCTGAATATGTCAATACCTCTTTAGGTTCATTGCTTCTTTCATATACCAGACCTTTGTCTTTAGTACCTTTCAAATAACGTAATATTCTCTTTCCTGCCTTCCAAGTACTTTTTGTTGGTTTATCCAGAAATCTACTTAAGTATGAAACAGCATATGTTATATCTGGTCTACTATTGGACGATATAAATAATAATGATCCTATCAACTCTTTATAAGGAACATCAATAATCTCTTCATTTTCATTAACATTTAATCCTGCATCCATAGGTGTATTTGACGGATTGCACTCTGTCATTTTGAATTTTTCAAGTATTTTGTCTACTTGTTTAGTTTGTTTTATCTTGATTCCATTTTCTATTTTTTCGATTTCCATTCCTAGAAAGCTCTTAATTTCACCTAAGTCTCTGGTATTGAATTTCTCACTTAATACTTGTTTGATTCTGTCTACTTCTTCTGTTTTCCCCATCAAAAGAATATCATCAACATATACTAATAGCTTTGCGTTATCATTCACATATAAACAAAAATCATAACCTGACCTTTTTAAACCTTCTTCTATCATTATTTTATTAAACTGTTTATTCCAGCATTTAGGACTTTCTTTTAATCCATATAACCCCCTATTTAACTTCAATACTGTATTTCCATTTATATTTATCCCTTCAGGTACTTTAATGTAAATCTCCGACTCTAAAATTCCATTTAAAAATGCTGTAGGTACGTCTAATTGGTATACAGGTAAATTTTCTTCTACAGAATGTGCTAAAAATGCTCTTACAGTAGACATCCTAGCTACTGGCGCATAATTTGTCTCAAAATATTTTTCAGGCAATTGGAATCCTTTCACAACTAATCTCGCTTTCTTAATACCATTATCTTTAATATTAAATATCCATTTTGTGTCTATAGCCTTGTATCCTTTGTTTTTGGTAACTGTCCATGTATTTAGTTTCTTTAACGAATCTATCTCTTTATCTATAGCTTGCCTCCATTCTTCATCCTTACTTGCTTCTTCATATGTCTTTGGCACTTCTTCAGTTATCAAACAATATGCTGTATATATTTCATAATCCTCTAAATGTTTTGGTTTCTTTATTTCTCTTCCAAATCTTGACTTTTGCACATTTTCTTCATTCTCTAAAGTATTATCTGGATCAAAATACATTTCTTCTTCTTTGTTTAAATCTGCCTCTGGCTCTCTCTGTTCATTGACTATATCCTCAACTATTTCTCTTCCAACACTTCCTTCACTATCAAAAATTCTAATTTCATTATCTCTTCTTTCATGTTCATCTTTTGTGTTATTAAACTTAATGTTTCTCTCATCAAACCTTACATCAGTAGAACAACATACTTTATTGGTTTCTGGGTCCCATAATCTATAACCATTAGGCGAATAACCAACCATAACTACTGACTTTGCTCTCTCCTCAAGCTTACTTAGTTTCGGTATACGCACCATCCATGCTCTTGCACCAAATACTCTTAATTTACTTAAATCATTTGCACCATACCATAACATAGCTGGGGTTTTATTTTCTAATACTCTACTTGGGCATCTGTTTAATTCATACGTTGAGCAATATATAGCTTCACCCCATAAGTGCTTTGGTAATTTTGTTTCAACAAACTTGGTTCTCACTCTATTTAGCAACGTCCTATTCATCCGCTCGCTACAACCATTTTGCATAGGAGTATATGGTGAAGTATACTGAATTACTATTCCTTTATTACGACAAAAGTTCTTGAAATAATTTGAAGAAAATTCCCCTCCATTGTCTAATCTAAGTTTTTTGTTTTATACCCTTTCTGTGTCTTAAGCTCTTTAATGTAATCTATCAAATTCTGTTCAGCTTCATTTTTGTACTTTAATAACTTTACTTTTACAAAATGAGAATAATCATCAATAATTACCTGAAAATATTTTTCACCCTGAGAAGTTGTAGTTGCAATTGGTCCACATACATCTGAATGTATCAAATCACCTATCTCTCTTGAACGCCTTTCAGCTACAGGGAATGTTCTTCGCGTACTTTTTCCTTCCATACAGCTATCACAGTTCTCACTTGATGCTGGTAACCCTAATAAACCCAAACCTTTTCTATTTAAGTGACCTAGCCTTCTATGCCATAATGTCATGTCCTTCTCTTTGCTCAACATACATTCCTCAGTAGATAACTTAAAATCAATAGTATATAATTTTGACTGTAATCTACCTTCTACAACCCTATTACCTGGATAATATATTGATACAAAATCAGCACAAAATTTAACCTCTGCTCCTCTAGATAATAATTGCCTTACTGATATTATATTATAAGAAAGATTTTTAACAATTAGGCAGTGAACTGTAACTTTTACTTGTAACTTGGAATAAATAACCCTTTTTCATTACACACTAGATATTCACCATTTGCTATATAAATTCTAGTTTCTGGTATCTTCTCTATATCAAACATCAATGGTTTGTAGCAATCCTTGATTAAATTTTCTGTAGCACCTGAATCTATAATGAACTTGAATATAATTTTTATTACTAATAATATTGTTACACAAGACATCGTTATTTGTAACCTGAAACGCAGTAAATAACATCTCATTATTCATAAAATCATCTTCACTGGCCATGCACGCAGCCTGCTCTCTGTTTCTACCTCTTTGCCCTCTATATCTTTGACCATGTCCATATAACCTTCCTCGAGCTTGACCACGTTGGGGTTGTCCTTGTCTTTGATTTCCATATCCTTGTGATTTGTACTCCAAATCTATAATTTCTCTTGCATTGAATAGCTTTGTGTCCCGGCTTGCCACATACATAACAATTAAAAGCTTGTTCTTGTGTTTCTGACTGTTCTCTTTTTGTTGCCAATTTTATCTCCGCATCTAGCAATCTGGCTTTAACTGAATCTATATTGATCTTTTCACTCGACATCTCTATCGCTGTCACGACTCTTTCATATTCTATTGGTAAAGCGGCTAACAAATAGCATATCTTATCTTCCTCTTCTACAGTAGATCCCACACCAGCAAGCTCCGCAACGACATTATCAAAACACATAAAGAAATCTTGAAGTTTTGTGCCAGGTGCACATTTTAAAGTAATAAGTTTTCTTCTTAAATACATTTTGCTCATGACACTTTTCCTTTCAAACATACCATCCAGGGCTTTTATCATCTCCGAAGCCGTTTTAGAACCTCTTATTATCTCTAAATATTTGTCGCTCAGACATTGTACTATGACACATTTTGCTGTTGCATCTTTCTTACCAAACTCTTTATCTTCTTTTGAATCATATCCGCTCCCTAATACTTTTTCCACTTGTTTTTCTTGAAGTAACATCATAAGCCTAAACTTCCAATTGGCATAAGAGTCGCCTTCTTTTAAAATAGGCAAGTACAATTTTTCCATTATTGTGAAGGAAAAAATTGTCGTAAATTGTTTTCACGAATTTTAATATAATCTCCAAATCATTTGCACCGTTCTTCTTTAATATTATTACTACAATATTTTTCCAATATTTTGCGCTTGTTATTTTGCGCAGTGGAAGCGTGCTTTTGGGTTTTCTCATTAAACAAAAATTAACACACTATTGAAGTTCGCCATGTCTTTTATTTAATACCAACTACCATAATGAAGATAGAACACTAATATACCACAGATAATCAAAATATCCAACAACTTCGTCTGCGTCTCTCAATAGTAATAAATTTTCTCCGTTTTTGAAACATTCTTCATTGGTGCTCCGCTCCTATTGGTCTTAGCGTGATGATATATAGCCTATAGCCTTCCTCGATAAATGGCCTATCTAACACTGAAAGAATTTTTCAAATCGAACCAGTAGTTCCTGAGATTAGCGCGTTCAAACAAACAAACAAACAAACAAACAAACTCTTCAGCTTTATAATATTAGTATAGATAAAAAAATATCAAGTCATTTTGACCGTACTAACCTAAAAAAACAGTCACAGTACGTAAACAATCCTGTTTTTCTCGCAATACGGCTTGTTTCACAAGCTTTTTCTCTTCATATTTCGAAATCATACAAAACAATAGTTTTCGCACTTCACTCTTTATAGTTTTATTCATTTTTATAGCAATAACACGGATATATCACAATAAAACTATACGCAAGTCAACCGCAACGAAACATCAACAACTCGCCATCTTGTTGCGTCAGAGATAGGGATACCATACACTGATTCTGATTTTTCCAAATCTTTCGGAAAACCGTCGAAAATTAACTTCTTTAAAATAAAATTGCCAAGTTTTTCTCTAGTAAATAGTGTACTTAATTATTTAAGCTATTTATTAGACCAACTTAAGGCTTAGTGTTGCTCTTAAAATGATCCCCAACACGTACTACGATACTTATTTTCGATGAATACAATTTTAGCACACGTACGAATTTTTAAAACTCATTTTATAAAATGTTTAAAATAAGTTTGTTTTAAAAATGCCTTTTTGGAATTAATTGTTCCTAAGTACTTTCTGCTTAAAATACCCCAATTAGTAGGGTAAATATCCGATGGTAGGAACACTTTAGTGTTGTCATATAAAAAGTTTGCAAAAAAATCCAGTATCTACTTTCGTTAGCCAGACTCTATATATATTACTAGTTTAAGTTTTATCATGCCTATAAAAGACAACAATTCATTCATTCTTATTCTTTCATTCTAAAAAAAAAATTTTGGCTCTACCACAGCTCTACATAAAATCCTTTGACAGTTTATCTTTCAAATACATGACATTGGCGAAATTGTGGTTACACTCTGCCACTAAGCCATTAATCAAAAGTTGAAGTTGAAGTTAATTTTACTTATCATAATTGAATCCTTGTTGTTGTTATCAACATTATTGTCTGTATTAGATTCGACACTAATGTAATGTCAGCGCTGTCTTCTATATGTGAGTATAGATCGGATTCAGAAGACAGTGATTGTGAATTAGATACCAATCGCTTTAAAAGGTAACTGTACCGAACTATTTCTTGGCAGACTATTATATTGCTGTATATAATTATAATTTATATATATTTTTCAGAGTAAGACTACCTCCGCCTAATCTCAGTAAAGTACCTGTTGTGCCTTTAAGTGAACACAAAGACGATCCTGAACTTCATTTTGGCCGAATGCGTTCTTTTCCTCATGTTAGAGGAAATTGGGCAACTTTTGTTTTTGTGCAATGTGGGTACTGATTTCAACATTTGAAAAAATCACTTACCTACCTTTACTTACTTCTGTATTTTCTTTTATTTTAGATCTAAATGTGAGTTCAATTCATGACTTATTAGACAAATTGGAAGAAAAAGTTGTTTTGAAGACTGGATCATGTCACAGGTGTGACAATTTTCATATTAGTTTGTCTAAGACTGTAGTATTGAAGTATCATTTGATATCAGCCTTCAGTGCCTCACTTCAAGAACAATTGAAGAGTATTGAAAGGTAATAGTAATTCAGTAATTTTGAAAACTTAACTCTTAAAATGTTGGCTCAGACAGTAATCAGAAAGGAGGGGTTGTGGCACTACAAATCATATTTCATATCAACCAAATGTGTTGATATAAAATATGATTGAACAACCTGCACATATTGTAGGGAGAACCAATAAGGCCACTGTCAGATACAATATAGGGACATGTTGTGTTTTGTCATATGTTGTATTACTTAATAATAATTATTTATTTTCACAAAAGGAAACATTTTACATAGAAATTTGTTTTGGTTTAAATTTAGTTTTATTTTAGTGTATAACTAAATAGTTGCGCAAAAGAATACAATAAAGTTTTTGGTTAGATTATTGTGATGGAAATTAATGTTACTATTGAAATAATAATCATGTGATGAAATGATTGGTTTTAGTCACTGCGATTCCGCCTTTGATATGTGATCTGTAATAGTGACTGTCAGTAATCATAACTCTTAGTTGCAGTGATTTTGGAGATTAGTCACATGTTTGACGCATGATTTTTTAATCATATCAAATACCACAGGTGATTGTGATTTTATTACTACTAAGAATTAAATTAGATACTTCACTAAGATTCCCAATGTCTTGGGCGCCAGTCCCCTCCTATCTACTAAAACTATAAGTGATTCTACATACAATTGTAATTTTAAAAGAAATGTATATTTCCATCAACCAAATTCTTATTTTAGATTCACAATATTAAATATGGGCATTTGTAAAAAAGAAATACATGTGCTATACTTTAAGCTGTCATGAACACTGTACATAAGGTGTATACAGTATGTATTGTGTCAAAATTTGTGAATTGTTCATGTATGCATTATTTTGTATTTAAACACCCTATTTTTGCTGCATATCCAAAAAAAATAGACAACACTTTGTTAAAATTATATACCATGGTATATATGATTGAATATGTATATTTTGTGTACTGCAACTCAATTTCTCATCTCTTTAGCTTTTCAAAAAAAATGATGCAATGCTATTTTTGTGTTACAGTTTTGAACTGGGTTTTGTTGGTTTAAAAGTATACTGCAACGAGGAAAATTCAAGAACATTTATATCCTTGACATTAGATCCATTTACGGAGAAGTACTTGTTAGCAATTACAAGAAAAGTGGATCAAGTGTTAGAAGATTTCAAATTGCCGACTTTCTATGAGGTATTTACATATATATACAGGGTTACAAGAAAAGTCGTGCTAGATCCGTTAAGGGCGTGGAGTACCCATCATTTCTGACATATTTCACTATGAAACACCCTACCCTAAACTTAACCCTTTTCGAGATAATCGTCTTTTAATTTTTTTATTGAAATTTGCTGATTTTTAGGCTACTACATTTATTTTTGTTTATTTTGTGTATCTTATTATTATTATTTTTGCATTTTTACATGTGTAATAAGATGCTTTAGGACGTCAGTCATTAAAATAGTTCATAAGTTAATTGAATAGATCGTAGTAGACAAGTGAAAGTAAAGAAATAAAAAAAAATATTAGAAAATTATTTTTCTCTAACGGATATCTAAAAACAATATTATGGTAATTGTTCGGCAGATGTTTTTTAAAATATCTACGTTTCATCAGCTATCTAACGAGGTATAACAATCTAGGGTTTGTATTACATTTCGTGGAAAAAAAGTAGTTGGGACGCTCCAGGTAACAGTTCTAACGGTCCCGCGCCTATTGTCCTTCAAGTTAAGACGCACCAAGCGAGCGAGACAAGTGACGATTTATGTAGGTGCGAATGAAAGAAAAAATGTGTAGAGACCGGTTAGGGCTGGAAATACAACAGGGGGCATTGTTTGGTTGTCACTAGTTGTCAGTCTGCTTTTGTGCTTCGTACATAGTAGATGTGATATCGTTTTGCTCTTTTTCTCGACTTGGCTGTGATTCTGGACTATTTCTTCTGATTTGTGACTACTGTGCTTGTTAACCGGACTCTGATTTGTACCTGTGATACGGAAGTGTTGAAGATGACGTCCTACACACCTGAGGAATATGCTGATATGCTTATTTGTTACGGATACTGCGATTGTGTGTCTGGGCAAGCTCGCAACGAATACATAACTCGCTACCCTGGTCGTCGATTGCCGGATGTGGCCGTTTTTGACAGAGTTTATCGAAGACTTCGAGAAACTGGCTCTGTTTTGAGACGAAATACAGACATGGGAAGACCACGAATTGACGACGAAGAACAGGACAATGAGATAGTGCAACGCTTTCGAGCGGATCCGACTACTTCCACTAATATTGTTGCCCGTGATCTGGGACTTTCGCAATGGAGAGTGTGGTTTACAGTGCATACTGCTGGCCTATACCCGTACCATTACACGCCGGTACACGTTATTGAAGAAGGAGACCCCGCGAGAAGATTGGACTTTTGCAGATTTATGCTAAATGCTGACGTAGAAGACCCAGATTTTCTAAGAAATATCTTGCGGACGGATGAGTCCAAATTTGATAAAGATGGCATAACTAACTATCACAACGCCCATTACTGGGCCCCAAAAGAACTAAGGAATCCCAATAAGAAAAGAGTGAAGGGGTCCCAACGAAGATTCAGCGTGAATGTGTGGATAGGCATTATCTCCAATCATTTGATTGGACCTTACTTTCTCCCGGATAATCTAAATGGGGAAAGCTACGAAAATTTCCTGAGAGCAGATTTGAGTGATTTGCTGGATGATCTGCCACTCAACCTGATCAGGGACATGTGGTTCCAACACGATGGCTGCCCTGCCCATTTCAGGAGAAGTGTCAGGGACTGGCTGGACACAAATTATCCAAACATGCATGAAAAGTCTTGTGTACAGTGAGCCGAATCCAGTTTCGTCTGATGCAGCAAATAAAATGAGGACCACGTTGACGACTGGAGTAGTGAAGACTGGTCTCCGTAGAAGGATGCGACAATGTATCAGAAATAGAGGCGGCCATGTTGAACATGAACTGTAGAATAAGAAAAAGTTGTGTGAAAACCTTTAATAAATGACATTACATGCTTAACTATTGTTTTATTTTACTTTTTTGGGCTAAGTATAAATTTTCTTCTCCACTGTCACCTATGAAACTAAAGTTTTTTCAATGCATTTGAATAAAACCTTAGATTATTATACCTCGTTAGATAGCTGATGAAACGTAGATATTTTAAAAAACATCTGCCGAACAATTACCATAATATTGTTTTTAGATATCCGTTAGAGAAAAATAATTTTCTAATTTTTTTTTTATTTCTTTACTTTCACTTGTCTACTACGATCTATTCAATTAACTTTAAACTATTTTAATGACTGACGTCCTAAAGCATCTTATTACACATGTAAAAATGCAAAAATAATAATAATAAGATACACAAAATAAACAAAAATAAATGTAGTAGCCTAAAAATCAGCAAATTTCAATAAAAAAATTAAAAGACGATTATCTCGAAAAGGGTTAAGTTTAGGGTAGGGTGTTTCATAGCGAAATATGTCAGAAATGATGGGTACTCCACGCCCTTAACGGATCTAGCACGACTTTTCTTGTAACCCTGTATATACTTATTTGTTATCTTAAATAAATAATTGTATGAAATAAATGCTTAGTGTACGCGATGCGGTGGTGCCATTATGATTGTGGTAAAGGCTGGACCGATCCTAACATGCGTCGAATAACTAGAATATGTTCATTTTCTCCCGATGCATGCTACGCTTACACGTCGTGGAGCATTAACCGACAAACGCTGGCTTGCCCTCACATTGCGAAGCATACAATGAATGATGGTTCACTGCACATACCTCTCAAAACAAAACAAACACAAACCCTTTTTTTAACGTGTGGAAATCCCCTCGGACCGTCACCCCACCGGGGTTTGCGGCGGGGTGGTGTGTCGGACTCGGACCGACTAAAACCACACGGTGTGCCACTCTGCGCCTGTAAGAGGAGGGATCCGGGAACAGCTGTTATTAAGACATCCGGACCCCTCCTAGCGCCAGCCCGCTCCTGGTGCGGGCTCTGTCTCAACATTTGCCTCTCTTTAGGCGACGTCCGGCACACGCGGACGCCGCCCCCTCGCGGCTGGCCAAACTAATGCGGGTGGAGGGGAAACCCACCCCGTCCACCCGCGGCCACACTCAGGGCGGCATGAGGCGGTGATAGGCGCGCCTCCGCCGCCCGGTTCGCCGGCGGCGGATCGGGTCCGAGTGGAGGTCGTCCTCCCGGGCCTTCTCCGCCGCCTCCTTCTGCGAGATTACTTCCTCGCAGAAGGTTGCGACCGCGGTAAAACAACTGTCGCTACCGGCCATGGAGCGTACTACGGCCGGTAGCGAGAGATCTACTCCGATGACTGCAGTGAGGGCCCGGCGCTGCGTCGCCCATGCGGGGCAGACCACTAGCGTGTGCTGGGCCGAGTCCTCACTGCAGTCGCAGTGGTGGCAGGCGGGACTCAGTTCCCTCCTAGCGACCGAGTGCAGGTACTTTCCGAAGCAACCGTGCCCGGAAAGCACCTGCGTCAGCCGGAAGGTAAGGGTCCCGTGCTGCCGCCCTGCCTACTCGGCGATGACCGGCTGGAGAGCCTCCACGGCGGCGAAGCCAGCGCGTGGAGTCTCCAGCCGGAACGACCAACGAGCCATCGTGGCTCGGCGAGCGGCTTCGCGCCACTCGCGCACATCCTCGGGCGGAGGGCGAAATCCGCTCTCCGCCCGGGAGTCAGTCACTCGCCGATAAACTTCGGCGAGCACTTCCGCCTCCAAATCCCACGGGGGAGTTCCGGCCAACGCGCATGCCACCTCCGTCGAAACGGTGCGGTAACCGCGTATGGCTCTGACCGCCATTACCCTCTGAGGGCGCCAGAGGCGTGCCCTATTCTGGGCGGTCAGAGCCGCCGCCCACACCGGTGCACCGTACAGTGCCATTGACCGGACAACCCCCGTGTACAGCCGTCTTGTCGCGACGCTGGGTCCACCCAAATTGGGCAAAAGTCGCCCTAGGGCAGACGCAGCGCCGACCAGCTTTGGAGCAAGCTGTCGGAAGTGCTCGTCGAAGAGCCACCTCCCGTCGAGGATCAGGCCCAGATATTTCATCTGGGCCCGAACCGGTACGAGGACCGAGTTGACCACGATTGAGGCGCCAGGGGGTGGACCACGACGGGGCCCATGAAATAACAGGGCCTCCGTCTTATCTAGGGCCACCCGTAAGCCCAGCACCTCAATGCGCCCGACCACCAGGGAGACTCCCCCTGTGGCCAGGCGCGCCGCCTCTTGGAAGTTTGCCCCCCGGGCTGTCACCAGGGTATCGTCTGCGTAACAGATTATACCCAGCCCGGGGGAGGAAGTCGGCGCGAAGGGCCCAGTCGTACCCTATGTTCCACAAGAGGGGTCCAAGAACAGACCCCTGTGGAACACAGCACGACATGGGCCGACACCTCAAATTACCCTCTCGGTCCTCGTACACGACGGTACGCTCCTCTAAATAGTCTGCCACTAGCCGCCTCAGGTACTTTGGCACCCCATGATAGTGGAGTGCTTCCCTGATGCAGCTGAATGGCAGACTATTGAATGCGTTGGCGATGTATAATGACACCGCCAACAGCACGCCGCCACAGCTCACGGCCTCTTCGGTCACGGCCCTCAGGCGCAACACGGCGTCAACTGTCGAACGCACCGCCCGAAAACCAAATTGGGCGTCCGACAGATCGGGGCCCACCTCGTAGAGGTGCCGGACGATGCGGGCAGAAAGAACCCTCTCAAACAATTTACCCGCCTCGTCCAGCAGCACGATGGGCCTATAGGCCGCGACCGAATCGGCAGTCCGCCGCGGCTTCCTTAATAGGACCAGCTTCCCGCTCTTCCAGCACTCAGGGAAACGTCCCGACGCCAAGCTAGCGTCGAACACCTCCCCGAGGCGGTCTGCCATGTGGTTGAGGGCCAGGGCCAGCACTCGGGCCGGTACCCCGTCTGGCCCAGGGGCGGTGTTCTTGGAACGGATCCGTAGAACAGCCGCCCCTACCTCCGAATCCCGGACGGGCGGAACATCATCCTCCTCGTGCTCCCCGTCGTCTCCGGCCAAGGTGGCCATCGCCGGGGGAGTGTGTTCCGCTCGTTGCGGGAAAAGGCCCTCAACCACTTCTCGCAGGAAGCTGGAAACAAACACAAACCCTATACCAACCCGTCTGGCCAGCGTGGTATAATAGGCCAAAACCTCCTTTCTAAGGAGAGGCTTATATCCAGCAGTGGACTATTAAAGGCTGTTGATGATGACATACCTCTCAATGTTTAGAATAGAATGAATAGACCAATTCACACCCAATCAACGTTCGGTCTGCTAAGGCTGCTGCCTAAGTAGGCCGATTGTTTGATCCTTGGAGCACAAATGACAAGAATCGCTTAATATTATTGTATCTATATTGCAACATGAATCTTTTACTGTTATAATTAGTAGTATTTAAATTATTACATAGAAACAACTAACTTCTCGAGATTGTGATGCCATTCAGTTGTGGTTTATCAAACTGAATCTTACAGTGTAGTCTGTTGCCATTATTAGCATCCATCTACCTGGAGGCTGTTTATTATTTTTGATTTTTGACATGGAAGGAATCAAAATCAGAAAGTCAATTCTCTTAATAAAAAAATCGTGTAATAAAGTAATAAACATCCAAAGTTGACTGTAACTTAATTATATCGTCTTGTAACCGAAATTTGAATCGGTTACCTGCTAGTAATACTTTACTATTTTACTACGAAGATACCTTATAAGACATTTGTAAGATTGGGAATAGATCGGCACTGAATTTTGAACAAACTTTTATTACGAGATTTGACCTTCAGTATGTCTAACAAGCACAATCGTCATGTCCCATCTGAATTATACTCATTCAAGTAGCCATTTTACTTGAGATTTTGGCATAATACAAATGTATTTATGTTAATGTGATATATTCTGTATGAATCAGCAAAAGTAAATATGTTGTTGCTGGTAATGAATGACTTTTTTTTAATTTTTAATATTGTTTTATTTCAGGATCCATCACTTCATATGAGTGTGTTATGGGTTCATGGAAATAAGAAATCTGAGCTCAATAGCATTATAGAGTCTATGTATGACACTTTTATTGAAGAATCTGTCAAGTCTCTCAAAACTATCTTAGTAGAAAGTATACATTGTAAAGTTGGTAACAAACTATTTCAGTATTTGTTGAGTTGACAGCCTAATACACTCAATTAGGAATAATGTTTAGTAACAATCTTGTTGACAAAAGTAAAAACAAAGTGTACATCAACCCTAACTTTTGTAAACCTCAAGCTAGTAATTACCCCATGCATGTGAATCCCAGATTTAATCACTTTCTGTCAAGTATTCCATCAAAATTAAATAACGCTCCCAAGATACACATAAACCCCAATTTTCGGAAATCTAAAACTGTTGATGTTGTTGTTAATGTAGATAGATCTAGCACAAACATTAAGTTTTTTCAACACACAACAATACCCAATCATCCAAATTATCTGTATTCACAAGAGCAATTAGTAGTAGAGCATCAATTGGCAGTACCAGCAGCAAAATCCCGATATTGTTTAGTAAGACATAATGTAAATATAGTATCTGAAGAGCCTGTGCTCGAAAAATCTAAAACTACTATTCAAATAAATAAGTACAAATCTGTACCATTAAACGATATCAAAAAAAAACTTGACAATGTTAAAAATGCTGTAAGTAAACAGACAAATGTTGTGAATTCACAAACACATCATCAAAATCACACACAAACAACTAACAAAAAACATTTGATTTCTTCAACTATTAAGAGAAATAAATTTAAATTGGTTAATAATAAGGCCCATGTTGTGAGAAACGCTAAGATTAGAACGCGGGCATTAGTTGATAAACATAAAAAGGTACAATCAAATCAAGTAAGACTGAATAGAATTAAAGGCAATTTAAAGAAAAATAATATCCCCTGCCCTATGTTCCGTAAATTCGGTACATGCTTAAGAAAAGAACACGGAAACTGCGACTTTTTACACGATAAAAAACACGTATCTGTATGTCGAAAGTTTATAAAAGGTCTTTGTCACGACAAAGATTGCCTGCTCTCTCATGATTTAACGATGAAAAAGATGCCCACTTGCTATTTTTATTTAAAAGGAACATGCACAAAACATGATTGCCCTTACCTTCATGTTAAATTAAATGAAAAAGTAAAAGTATGTCCTGATTTTCTCAAAGGATATTGTGAAAAAGGTAGCAAATGTTTACAACGACACAGTAATATACGTGCCGGTCATAAAGCTAAAGAGGCTTTAATAGCAACATCATCAACTTCGCAAAAGAACTCTATATTAAAAGTAAAAAAATTGGATGCCGTAACTACTACAACAACAAGCACTGAAAATAGACTGCTTACAGAAAAAAATAAAAATACCCTGGACAGATATTATCAAGAAAATAAAGGTGATACTGAAATATCGGAAAATATAAAACCTATGAGATGTAAGTTAGGATCATTGCCATCATTTATTCAACTATAATATTTTTTTAGTATCATATTTTTATATGCCATGTGTACAATGTAGGAAGCCGCGGCTGCAATCCTAAAAGCTTAATTTATCAACAGTGATCACACCCATACTCACACACACCCATACTAATTCATTTGCATAATGGCTATATGAACCTTGTTGTGGTTAGCTGTCTGAGAGCCTGTGTTTCTTTATACTATATATATATATTTAAATTGCGACATTGTGCCCTACGTTTAAAGGTTCGCATTAGAAGCGCACAACGTGAAAAAAACGGGTTAACTGCTCTAATATCACACCATGTCCAATATAGGCATTTTGGGTTGGGCAACAGTCCCACGTTATGGTCATTATATCGAGATTTTATAAATAATCCTGCAACAACGAAATACAAGAATATTAACACAACCAATACTACAATAACCTGAAGCTGAATTACGCGAGTGTGCCTACTATAAATAAGGAGAAATAAAATTGTTTTTTATAATTTGTGTTTTTATTTTCCTATGTGAAGTATGCAAGTTATTTACAATTTCTAAACATTACAATAAAAACAGAGTTAAATTAATAAGTGTCTCCCGCAAAGAGCTGTATTTATACTCTACCCATTTCGTTTTTGCAATACTTGTTCAATTTAAGTATGCTGTCACCATTTTTCAACTAGGTACTTCTATTATTTTGTGGGTATCATATTTTTATATGCCATGTGCACCACGTAAGAACCCTCTGAAGCCCTAGAAGCTTAATTCATCAACAGTTATATATTCATAAAATTCAATTAGAATGGGACTAATCATTATTTTCTATCAAATCAAATGATTACCCCAGTGGTGTCGTGTCATAAGGAATCAATTATTCCCCACGACACCTCCGGTGTACCTATCACGAGGAATTATAACATTCGCCGTGACCATCGAGTATTAGTGATGGGAGATTTGCGTGCTCCAGCTGGGTAGCACAACACTATTTAAAAGCCATTCTTATAGATTTAAGGCCGGTTTAAAACCAATTAAACCAATCTGTTTAAAACGAAAAAAAAAACCGTTTAAAACCGAAGTAAACCAATTCTTTCTATTTAAAACGGTTGGTGTAGATGACTATGATTTTTTTAATTATAACTACATTTTCTTAATTGTTTATAAAAATCATTTATCCAAGAATCACGTTTCATGGATAAATAAACAATTCAACCACTTATTTCCAGATTTTATACATTTTAATCAATCTGAACAAAAGAATTCAATATTAGCCCAGTGTTGCCAATTTTCACTTGGTTTGTTACTACTAGGTATTTTATTTCATATTCTTTTTACTACATTTTCTAAGGAAAATGGAATATGGAGAAAACATTGACTTCAAATAATTAGAAATTGTAATGGTGAAAATGAAAAACAAATATATGCCCACAAAAATTCTAGAAAAGTTTGTTGGCAATGAAAGTGTTTCTTAAACTTAGAATCCAAATGGAATCCAAGTTTAAAAAACACTTAGAATCCAAGTAGATTCCGCATACAGCGCCACAAACGCGCGCAACACATACTTGCTGTAGCTAGCATAATATTTCTATCTTCTATAATATTTTAAATGCGGTTTACCTTTAAGTAATTATAACATTAACTTTTGTATTTTCGCATGCATTTAGGAATACGTTTAAATGTTAACAATTGTTGGTAGACCTTGACTAATAAATAAATAAGTATATTCGATTGGAATCGCTAAGTTGTAGCAGAAAGAAAAGCCAAATTTTAATGATGAATTCATAATGGACGCCAAATGCAACTAATGAATGAGGACACAACTGTTGGCCAAGTATTAAATGATCTCAGATCATTGTACGTGATATTTAGCGATAACATTTTGTTTTCTGTTCTTTGGCTAAGCTAATATTATTCTTATTTGTTTTGCATTTTAGGGCAAATGAATAAATAAAGGCATTGATACGCTAGTATACTATCTTTTACTATTTTTCATTTAGGCATTTACTTGGTCTTAAGTTGACAGACAACAAATAATTAGGTATCAGTAAAAACATAAAAGTGATTCTTAAACACTTAAAATTCTTTATGTATCATCTCCAATATTTTTATTGTCTCTGGACCAGGAAATTATTTTGAGCATAATGTAATTCTGTTAAGTTACTCATCACTAATACTCGATGGTGTCACAGGGAATATCCTCCTGCCACCACATCTGAGCATCATTTAGTGATGTCACGGGAAAGAATGATAATTATAGGCGTTTTCCAGAAATTGTTTATTATTCTTGAAAATGCCAGAATGAACCAAATATTTTTGGACAGACTTCTTAAGGACTAAAACTATAATTTATAGACTGGAATTTTAATTTACTTTTCGTTTTTAATTTAGCATATCTTTAGGCTTAATACGAACAAAACTTTTGCTACCAATGCCCAACAAAGAATAATGACAAGCTTTTACAGTTACCTGCCGTGACATATATACATATGAGTATGATAAGAAGAATTGTAGGATTTCTACAAATATCCAGAGAAATTGATAGACTACGCCATGTTCAGGCGAAATCGGTACCTACTATTGAGTTTTCTTATGAAAAATCAATATACCTATAGTATATTTAATATTGCCATCCCCGAATAAGGATATCTACTAACATAAAACAACTTTATTTTTCTTTTAAATGCAGGCTTTTACGTTGTTACCTAAGTAATTCCCAATACCTAATTTTATCTGTTATATATAAGTGTAATTTGAGCCATAATGGATTTTACTCGGAATAAAAACCAACGTCCATACATGATTTAGGGCCCCTTTTACATCAGTATCGCAGATTCGTACGACTCAAATTCGCGCGAACGTGCTATGATCGTGTATTCGCTTTGTATTAGGACGACGCCTAAAGGTACGCGTCACGAGACACAGTAGCGTGTTTCTACATGTACGGGTACTGTGTTTGAAAACCAAATATTTCAACGTTATGGTTATAATGTCGAGATTATAAAAACTCGAACAACACGTACAACAACGAAATATTCTCCTCCAAACCTTTTTTCCCCAAACTAGGTTGGGGTCGGCTTTAAGTCTACTACGATACGGCTGACTACTGATTACGGCTTTTTACGCGGAGCGACTGCCATCAGACCTCCACAACCCAACCACTATGAGGTATCGAAGTTCCGTAGAAAAGACTTTCGAACTTTTTAAGGGTCCAACTATGCGTAACAATTGCTACGAGTACAGATGTTCGATCGATCGATAAAGAACGAAATATAAGAATACTAAAACAACCAATAAGTACTATAATAGCCTGAAGCTGAATATAGCCGTCTTGTCGCAGGCGAGTGTGCCTGCTATAAATAAGGAGAAATAAAATTGTTTTTATAATAATTTGTGTTTTTATTTTCCTAGGTGTTAATCTGCAAGTTATATACAATTTCTAAAAATATTATAAAAACAGAGTTACATTTACAAGTGTCTCCCGCATAGAGCAGTCTTTATACTCTATCCATAATTTTAAAAAAATGCAATACTTGTTCAATTCTTGAACCAGCGTGGAACTTTACTGGCTTTTGAAGTCGATGGTTTGCTGGATTTCTGATTATTATGAGTTCCATTATCTTGTCTACTTCTACTTGGTGCTCTACAATAAAGAAAATCTGTTTACTGATTGTGTCTCTTAATTATCCATAACAGTAAAGCTCCGTCAAAATAAGCTCGTCAATAGCTACTTAACTAAATAAAAATCTAAATGTTAAACTATTATTAGTTAACTAGTATTAATGTATCTAGACAAAACAACCGAAATGTATTAAAAGTTTCTATCAAAATTAACTTGTCTAAAGTTAATGTAAGTAATTTTACACGACTTTTAAGATTTTTTTACGATCTTTTTGTATGTTACCTATATTTTGAAGCCAGTATACTTGCTGCATCTGGTGCTGTTAACTTTGAATAAATTTCTTCCTTTAAACACAGTTGATTCTTGGTATCCTGATTTGACCATTTGAAGTGCATATGAACACATGGTACAAATTTTGCATCCAGTAATGTCATTTTAGGCTCTAAAGATTCTTTAATTGGAGTTGTAACTGTAACATCAGAATGATAAATATTAACATGCTGTTTTTTCACCATCAACTATAACAACTATTGAATATGTTCATATTGCATGTCCACGTTCTGGCCATCGCAGTGCTGGTACCCAGGCGTTGACTCATTGCGGATCACACAGATGATCTCCGAAGCATCCTTTCCCGTGATCACCTGCGTCCGGCGGTATGAGAGAGTCCCGTGTTTCGTTAATAGGTTCTAATCATGGCAAGTACAGGAGGGGCATGCTGAATTCCTGGTGATACGTCTATATGTGACGGAAACTACATCATCATCAACAACCTTTAATAGTCCACTGCTAGACCTCTCCTTAGCAAGGAGGTTTTGGCCTACTATACCACGCTGGCCAGGCGGGTTGGTAAAGGGTTTGCGTCAAGTTTTCCTCGGTCGGCTCTTACGACACCCAAGGGATGAATAGGGGTAGTGACAATCCGTATTATTAATCCGTCACCACACGGATGAAAAAATACATACTTTTAATCTAATACTTACATATATCGAACTTTTCATGAGGATAATGCAAATGATCTTTTATGAAATTTGTGACATCCTCAATAGTATTTGATGGCGAAAATATCCCTTGCAGTATTATCTGGTCTGGAAACTGTATCCGTACCACAACATTCTTGTATAAATTAAGTTTTTCTTGAGAAGACTGAAAAAAGGAACATTCATATCTCACAGGTGTCAAAAAAATGCTCTCTAGTGATATTGAGTTCACAATCTTGCTAAATATACACTTATTTATCATCTTTGAATCGGAATCTACTTGAACACTGAATCTGGACGTGAACTAACTTATCTTATAAAAATGTAATGTATTTTTTTTATCGACAAATATGCGATGCAACCTGCGTCTACTATCGTTGCGTAGGGTAGCTTCGTTTTTTTTATTGTAAAGGGGGCAATCGAGCTGATGGGTCACCTGATTTTAAGTGACTACCGCCGCCCATGAACACCTGCAACGCAAAAGTAACAAGTGCGTTGCCGCCCAATAAGACCTTCTCCCAGAATCAGAATCCAACCCCTCCTGGTATGGCTTCCGGGCTCCTCACTCACTCGGTGAAATGCAACGAAAACTGCTTAATGCCGACTTTCTGTAATGCCTTGCTACCACTCCAGTCATGACCGGCACATTTGTGCAGAAGCATGACTGCCGAGTCACTCCTAGTGACTAATTCGATATCCCCGAAATACACACGTCAGTAAATCATGTATATTATATAAATATGGATAAAACTTAACAAAGATTTATTCCTTTATAATTATCATCTTACTCCAGTCAGTCATTTTTTTGTTATCATATAACCTATTTATATCATATTACTATACCTGGGCGTGATTATCATCTCTAGTCGAGGCTAACATAAGTGGGGTGTTTTCAAGACTCAATCGATTTTGTTGTAAATCATGGTACAATTTACGCACTTCTTCAACTGATAATTCATAGAAGTCATCTGGCAGGTCACCTGGCTCATGATCCATGGAATCCGGTTGTTTAAAAGCTATAGCTTTATAATTTCCAAGCTACAATAAACAAGCAGGTTTAATTGTGATATGAAACTAAACTAACTAACTACGAAACTAACTTACCATTAATTCACTAATATTATAGTGAGAAAAAGAGAATTTGTTTCACTAAATAATTATTATTATCTAAACTAATATTATAAAGCTGAAGAGTTAGTTTGTTTGGTTTCGAATTGAAAAATTCTCTCAGTGTTGGATAGCACTTTGATAGCACATGAAGGCAGGATAAATAACATCACGTTACGACCAGTAGGAGCCGAGCATTTATTTGCTTTAGAGACGCCGACCAAGTTGCGCTGGCCAGTTAGTGGTGAGATAAACTAAGTAAATATCATCATCTAAATTTAATACATTCCTTTAAAAATACGTCTTTTTTTAAAAGACGACTACTGCACTAGGAATATATCCTGTGTCGCGAGGGACCTTACAAACATACGAGGGAGCGTTTTTATGTTCGCGGAATGGGGGATAAGGGGTGGAAATAAAAAAACTAAATTATTTTTCCTGTTCAATATATTCACCTGCAAGACGGATACATTTTTCAGATCTTTCAATAAATTTGTTTTCTCTTTGTCTTCAAAATACGCCGAAACTGCCTCCTTGACTTCATCATCGTTGGTAATTTTTTTACCCCGCAGCTCTTTTTTCATTTTTGGAAATAGGTAATAATCGCTGGGGGCCAGGTCTGGGCTGTAGGGTGGGTGATTCAAAATATCGAAGCCCACCTTATGAGGGCAGTCAACGCAACGCGGCTCTTGTGGACGGGCGCGTTGTCGTGCAAAAGCAACACACCTTTTGTCAATTTTCCCCGTCTTTTCTCTTTAATGGCTTCTTTGAGTCAAATAATGGCTCTAATATTGAAGCGTAGTATTCTCCGGTTATAGAAACACCTTTATCTTTATAATCGATCAATAATATTCCTTCTGAGTCCCAAAAGACCGTTGCCATGAGTTTCCCAGCTGACTGTGACACCTTAAACTTCTTGGGAGGTGCAGTGCCCCATTTATGCCATTGCATGGAGTCTTGTTTCGACTCAGGTTCATAATGATGAACCCAAGTTTCGTCTCCAGTAACCATTCTACTCAATACAGCATCCTTGTCTTCAATTCAAAGGTCTAAAAATGCACATGAACACTCTACGCGCTGTTGTTTTTGCGTCGGCGTGAGCATTCTCGGCACCCATCTTGCACTGACCTTTTTCATGCCAAAATGATGGTGCAGAATTCTAAAAATGGTTGTATCAGATACTCCAACCATTTCTGCGAGTTGTTTCTTCTTTAGTCGAGCATCGTCGAGTACAATTTTTTCGACTATTTGGATAAGTTCTATCGTGATCACCTCGATGCTCCTGCCCGGCCTCCCTTCCTTGTTTAAATAAACTGTGCCATTTGTACACCATGGTTTTTCCTGGACAAGAGTCGCCGTAAACCAATGACATCTCATTCATTATGGTCGCAGCTGATTTTCCTTGCTTGGTAAGGAACTTTATAACGGCACGATATTCGATTTTTTCCATGTTTCACTTTTCACTCCCGATTATGTTGCTTGGTTGACGATAACTCAAAGACTAATTGTCTAATAACAATGAAACCTGGTATTTATACTAATTATGAGTCACTGAACACGTGACGATTCTAATGAGCATAATCACCCCCCTCCAACCCTCTCATTCCGCGAACTTAAAAACGCACCCTCGTACATAAAACGGACACAAAGAACGCCCAGACTCGGAACAACAATTTGTGGATCACAAATAGTGTCGTCCCATGTGGGGATCATACGCACAACGCTCAGCGTAGTAGTAAGCGGCGTGGTGACCGCTTAAACCAATACGCCATCCGTGCAGTCAATTATTTCCAGTAGTTCCATATAACCAGTTCCACGTTGAACCTTGTTTTCATGTGCTACCAAAAAAACATTTTCAAAATAATATTTTAATCTAAGATTTAAGCAGCAAGAACACCAACTCTTCATACATACTCCAAATTCTTTCTGCCCACCTCTTTTGAGTAATAGCGTGATAAAATGTAGACTATATGCTACACATTACTATGGTTAACCTTAATCCAAAGTTTCATTAAAATTCTTCTAGCAGTTCTTACGTAAATCGTGCACAACAGAGATGCAGACAGACAGACAAAAATTTAAAGATCATATTTTGCCATCTATTACATTTATGATTTTCCTACAGTTTTATTATATGTGGAGATAGTCATTTGTTTTTCTAACGTTCAGTAGTTTTCTCAGACTTTCTTTTGTTATTTAAAAAAGTGAAAATAAAATAGTTTTAATTAAATTAATGTCAATAAATAGTACAAAAATCGCATTTTTAAGGTTACATCAGTACCATGTGAAACTGGCTTCATGGTGCTACTGGGAATAAACCAAAATTACTTGCTACTAATTTTCAAAAACATTAAAAAAAGTAAAAAACAAAATCACCAAATACTATTAAATAGTTTTTGGTTACGAAAAAAAATGTTTTAACTAAGTTGAAAGACTGTGTAAATCTGTTGAACTGTTTGTCTGAACACACACAAAACCAAGTTCTCTAATGGTGCTACTTTAGATACATATGTAAAAAGTATAAAAATGCTTCTATTTAGAGAGTATCATTTTCCTATTTAAATTATGTATTCTATTTCATATAATGCTATAAAACTTTTAAAATATCTTACAAATGTCACTTCTTCATCAATCTTAAGTCTTCTTTCAAGATTTTCTTGTGTATGTGTGCTTCTTGAAGTAGAACTATCTATATCAACATCCATAGTCTCTTCACTTTCATTACTCTGTACTACTGGTTCCTCATTTACAACTTTTTCAGGCATTGACATTTTTTCCTCTTTTGTTAGTTCTTTACGAATTTCTTCTTTAAATTTTTTCAAACTATCAGACTGGTCATATGTTTCATGCTTGGTTTGACTAACTTCTGTGGATGCAGACTCAGCAATTTGTGTAGGACCCGGCTCTGTTATGGTCATGGCAGCTTTTTTATCAACTTGTGTATCAATAACAGACTTTCTATAAAATGCAGACACATTAGCCTGTCTGAAAGTAAAATTGTTGATATTATATGGAAAGAGTATGGAAACTAAATAGGCTGATTATGAATTTATATATACAATACCTTGCCTCTTCTTGTTTGTTAAGTAATCTTAAAATCGCCCTGCCTTTAATCAATCCTAATTGCCTCAAAGTTTTTCCTTTAAGTGCACTTTCTCCAACAACTTCTTGACGCATATATAATATTGTTGGTTGTTGTATCAGACCTATTTCCGATGGAGCCAATGATATTACCAGATCATACAAAGTTGTAGTGGGTGAAAAGTCTGCTGTTCTTCTTTCACCTTAAAATGAAGAATTAAGATGAAGCAGGTTAAAGTTTTGAGCAGATAAAAGAACCACAAAACTTACCATCTTCTAGTTGTAAGCCAATGGTAACATTTGATTCCCTCCGCTTAGTATCTGCTTCAACCATTTCAAGCGTAGCTTTGTTAGGAAGGTTTGAAAATCGGATAGTGGTTGTCAAATCCAAAATATGGTTATGATGTTTCAGGTCATAGTCAGAAGGTTGAAAACCTTGTTTACTACATACATCTTCTAAAACCTAAAAGTACCTAATATTATTATTATTTTCTAACTTAAAAAGAGTATTTGTGGTGGTGATATTAAAAGATATAAAAAGCCTGTCTACACACATAAGGTTTAGAAACTTGAATAAAAGTAAACTACTATGTAAGCCATGGGTGCTTAATTTAAAGAGTATTAGAATGCCTTCCAACTTCAAAGGTAAGTGTTTATGAAGATGTTAAACACTTACAACAGAGAGACTAATTCACTCTACCACTAATATTGCAGAACTATAATTGTCTGGAAAAATAGATGCAAGCAGTTCATTCAAGACTTTGGTTAGGTTAGACTAGACACAAACTAGAAAAGAGCTGTCAAAGCATGTAGATTTACTTTTCAGTTTTCTGTCATCAAATAATTTTTATAAATTAAATTGAAATGATCAAAGGATTTGCCTTTACAAAAATAAATTGATATGAAAAAGGTAATTAGATTTGCTTTTGGTAATACCTAAATTGAGGCTTGATATTAATTCTCTGTTTACTGTAGTGATAAGAACTAAAATCTTTGAGAAAACTCTCCATTATTTCGATTAGATTTTTGTAATCATTTTTTATGTGACAAATATTTTTAGGGAAAATAACCTGTAAATATTTATTACATAGTCAGAGGTACATACTGTGTATGGATATTATTACTGCTTTACTTGATAACGTCCTTTCTTGCTGAGTGGTAGAATGATCACATTGTTAAAACAAGACTTATTTTAAAAATGTTTAGCAATGTTTTTCTCTACATTCGATATTTTATTTTACGATAAGAAAGAGGGAGCACATCCTTTGAATTCATCATCATCAACAGCCTATAATAGTCCACTGCTGGACTAAGCCTCTCCTTGGACAGGAATCCTTTGAATTATGTGCCAAATAACTTAATCAAAAATACTTTAAAATGGTAACGCACCCTATAAAATATTTTTCAATTACTGTTTACATTGTTTTTAACCCTTCAATTATGGACCTAAAATAGTTACCTGTAAAATACTAGTATCAGGGGTACAATGTATTTTTTGTCGTCTCCCATTTGGTGCGAGCACAATAATGTCTTTGGACATGATTATGATTTTCCTAACTTCTTTAATGAAACTAGACGAAAGCCACTTTGCAATTTTCAATAGTCAATAGTCATCATTGGCTTACTTATTTTTGCTTGATAATTATAAGGCTGTGGTTTCATTGACATATGTATATCGCTAATGTCAGAGTCAAATTGTCATCTGTCAGTTTAGTGATACGGACTGATACAATCATAGATATAAGCATAGAGTGAACACGGGGTACAGCCAAAGAGCTTATAAATATAGAGGAAGCGAACAGGGCGCTATCGCATACGGTTGGTAAAGAGCGAAAGAAGAGTGTTTCTGTTTTGCATCTGTGTCTGCTCTTATCACTGATTGCCTATTTTAAATAATAATAATACTGACTTCACACATCTCACACACGGCCTTCAGATCTTAAACTAGGCAGAGCCTGTGCTATGGTAACCAGACTGCTGATAAAAATACGTATATTTTTAAATACATACATATTAAAGACAGAAACACAGAACCAATCAAACCCACGACCTCTGGCTTAGCAGTCAGGGCCACTAACCACTAGACCAACAGGCCCGTCTTGAAATGCCCTATTCAGTATCAGCCAATCAGTGTAGATAGGAGAGAGACATGCAAGACCAAAACAATATTCTTTCTCTGCCTAACGGCTGTACGCTACCACTTACAGAGGAATATACAGTTAACTCCCACTCTTATATTATCTCAATGGGTACAGCTGTCTGTGAGTGGAAGCGATAAAGGCAACGAGAATGATGGATGCCCCACAGTTCGCTCTATTTCTGTTTAGCTAAGCTGCGATTGGCTATCGTAAAGTGTGGAGTGCGATAGGCTGATGATGATGATGATGATGAAGTAGCAAAGTAATTGTTTTCAGAAATTGTTAACTTTTATAATGTTGAACCACTTTTATATATAGACAAGGCAATAATATAACAACTTGGTTAAAGCAGTTAGAAAGGGTTTTATTTTAGTTAAAATACAGTAATGTAATATTTAAAGAATACGTAATGTATGTATGCAAGGAAAAAAAAGTTGAGTAACTTCTAAACAGTCAAATTTAACTATAGTAACGACAGCCATAGATAAGTTGTAGGAAGATATGTAGTTTCATCACACCCTAGAGAACTTTTTAGAATTTTTAAAATCTCTTAAGCCCAATTTTTCCACTCAAATCTTCTAATCTTGGGCCAAAGAGCGGTTTGGTAAACATGTCCGCCTGTTGTCTGACGGATGCTACTTGTTTCACTTCAAGTTCACCGCTGTTTACACATTTGCTTTAACTTAATATACTTGGTCCGCCTATGGTACTTATATTAAGGATTGTGTGAGTGCTTTATAGCTGATTCATTATCTAGATAGAGCACAGGTTTTTGTAAGTTGGCTAAGTCTTTCAATAGGCTGTTCAGCCACAAAATTTCTTGTATAGTTTCACTGGCAGCGATTATCTCCGCTGCAGTCGACGACAAAGATACTATAGTTTGTCGCTGACTTTTCTAGCTAATAGCTCCTCCTGAAAGTAGGCATCGTAGGGTAGGGTAGGTATCTCAACTTCAATTTTAGGATCTACAGATCCTAAAATTGAAGTAAGTCCACACCAACTCCAACTGTTGTTAACACCAACTGTTTCTGTGCACAGAGTACCCCAAAAACACATTAATAAAGAAAAACCAAAGAATATAGTGGTGAGATTCTCTTCTATGCTTTTTCGAGATAATGTTTTGAGTGCTTACCGTCTTGCTAGGGGCCTAAAGTCTGATCAGCTTGGTATATCGGGAACTTCCCACACTATTTATTTAAATGAACATCTGACTTTAAAAAATAAATTGTTCTTTCGTGAGTGCCGTCTTGAAGCGAAGAAACATACTTTTAAGCATTGCTGGGTCAAACATTCGAGTATCCTTGCTCGGCGCACTGATACATCAATTGTATTTGCAATTCGAAATAAAAATGATTTCTCTAAATTTAAAATCAGTGATGGTAAGGTGCCAAATTAACTGTAGTTTAAAGTGTTACATTAACATTTTTCTTAAGCACGCATTATTATGTAGATTTTTATATTTTATTAAAATTACTATGGAGATATATAAATTAGTTACCATTATACTTATTATGGAATTTCTTACCGCCTGGAGGCCTGTGGTGGCGTCTGTTTGGATAGTTACAATCTTTAATCACAGTAGTATTCTTTTTATAATGGCTTCCATATTTCCCTATGACTGATGCACTTAATATTTACTATCAGAATTGCCGGGGCATCCGTGGCAAGCTCCAGACAGTCTACATGAGTGTTCTATGTAATACTTATGATGTAATCGTTTTGACTGAGACATGGCTAACCTCTAACATAGGCGATAACGAATTTATTGACCAACGTTATAACGTTTTTCGTTGCGATAGAGATCGATTGGCCACCGATAAACGGGAGGGCGGTGGTGTTCTTGTTGCTGTCTTGCGAACACTTCACCCGACGTTAATAAACCTTACGTGTACTGAATTAAACGCCCACATTGAACACTTGCTCATACAGATACCCAGCAGCGACCGTTCTAAACGCCATATTATAAGCGCTGTATACATACCCCCTAGAACACCTGTAGATATTTATAATTCATACTTTGATGTGCTGTCTATAGTGCTAAATAGTCCTTCCACACAATTTTTTTATACAATGGGTGATTTTAATTTACCTAATATTAATTGGTCACTTAGTAGCACTGTTGACTTGGGCTGTGTAGAGGGTTCATCTGTCAGTCAGTCTTTATTTAATTTTATTTCTGAATTGAACGCAGAACAATATAATAAAATACCTAATATAAGCAACAGAACACTCGACTTACTAATCTCAAATGATAACTGTAGTTTGTCTCAAGCAGCCGACTGTTTAGTCCCTATAGATTCCTATCACCCTCCTTTCACTGCTATGATTTTTCCTTACTTGAAATTCTCTCATATGCAACGTTGCCCGATTATTAAATTAAATTATAAAAAAGCCGATTACGATTCGATCAAAAATGAATTATCTGTGATAAACTGGAATGACATCCTCAGTAATTTAAAGGCTCAAGAAGCTATAAATACATTCTACGACCATCTTTTTGGTGTTATCAAGCAACATGTACCTCGAATTAACTGTAAAAACTCTACTTTTCCTACTTGGTTCAGTCAACCCCTTATTAAATTATTTAAAAGCAAATCTCGAACATGGATCAAATGGAAAAAGTATCAAAATCTCTCTGACTACGAGCAATTTTCCCTATATCGCCGTCGCTTCCGTAAGGAATGCGCTCTGTGCTATGCTAACTATCTTGATAATGTTGAACAAAGTATCCATCTGAACCCTAAATATTTCTGGAGTTACATTGCTAATAAGCAGAACAATTCGGGAATTCCTCATAACATGTGTTATAATAATATTTCTAGTAGTGACCCTCATGAAATATGTCAGCTTTTCTGTCAATATTTTAAATCTGTCTATGAACCATCAGCATTGGATTTAGATATGTGGGTCCCACCACTGGATTATAATGTTAACTGTGAAATAATCTCTGATATCGATTTTGATGCCTCCAAGGTTCGTGAGGAGCTGAAGTTATTGGATCCGACAAAGGGACCAGGTCCTGATGGACTACCAGCATCGTTTCTAAAAAATGTTGCTGATCATATTTATTTACCAATTCATCTATTATTCCGCAAGTGTCTAAAGGAGGGCCAATTACCAGCTATCTGGAAAGAGGCAAACTTGACACCGGTTTTCAAGAAAGGATGTAAGAATGTCGTAGAGAATTATCGCCCAATCTCTATCTTGTCCGCTCTGTCGAAGCTTTTTGAAAGATTGATTCACAACGAAATTTATCCAGTCTTGCATAAGATCATTATCAAACAGCAACATGGCTTTGTTAAAAAAAGATCAACAGCTACCAATCTAGTTAATTTTGTAAGCTACCTTTTTGAAAATATGGACAATCGTTGTCAAACTGACGCAGTGTATACTGACTTCCAAAAGGCATTCGATAAGGTGGACCATGAGCTGCTATTAAACAAAATAGCTTTTAATGGCATTCGTGGAGATCTTTTAAGATGGTTTATTTCCTATATAACCAACCGTACACAAAAAGTAGTTATTAATGGATTTCATTCGGACCAAATTTTCGTAACATCTGGAGTTCCTCAGGGCTCTATTTTGGGTCCTTTATTATTTGTTCTATTTATTAACGATATTGACACTTGTTTCTTTCATTCTAAATTTTTGTTATACGCAGATGACCTCAAAATCTATAAAACTATCAATGATCTTAATGACTGCCAGCTTTTCCAAAGTGATTTAAATCGGCTGGCAAAATATTGTAGTGAAAATAAACTTTTCCTAAGCTTGCCTAAATGTAATGCTATATCCTTCACAAAAAATAAAAAGGTATTCAACTGCACTTATGTCTTAAATGACCAACCTTTGATTAAAGTATCTTCGCTTAGAGACCTTGGTGTTGTTATAGATTCTAAATTGCATTTTGACATTCATATCGAAAATATCATTAAGGCTGCATATAGAATGCTCGGATTTGTTATACGGAACACTAAAGAATTTAAAAACCCAAATACTTGTAGATACCTTTATATAACGCTAGTAAGATCTTGTCTCGAGTTTGCTACCATGGTCTGGAATCCGTTTTACAATAAATACATCGGGGCATTGGAAAATGTCCAAAAAAAATTCTTGCGGACGCTTCATTACAGATGTTGCCATGGCTATCAGGCATATGATTGTCTACTCCTGAAATACAATTTGTCTACCTTGGAAAGCAGGAGACTCCTTCTTGGAACTATGTTCTTACATGGCATTGTTCATAACAAGTATGACTGTCTGGAATTATCAAATAGATTATGTTACATCGTTCCCAGAACAGTCATGCGAAGGCAGGTTCGCTCACATCGTCTCTTAGCGATTACGCCTTACCAGGTCCCTAAAACAAATGCAGGCTTAAGAACACCTCTGCGACGGCTTG